TCTGCCTTAGTTAAAATATCTATTGTTCCTAGCTGCTCTCTGAACTGTCCAGAATGAGGATATGGGGTTAGTGTTTCCAAGTGTTATGAGCTGCTTCTTGATTTTCAGCCCTCCAGCTAGCAAAAGTATATCTAGCACTCCAAAGAGATTAAGGAACTTTTCCCCATCCTGGTATGCATGCGTCAGGCATGCTTTACACATAGCAATCAAACCAGATTTGACTACTTTAATGGTGCTCTCTTTCTACAGTATTTCTAGGGTCATGGTTCCAGACTTGATGAGTAGTTTGTGACAAGACTTCATAGAAAAGTAACCATCGTTCTCTTTTCCAGATTAATGAACCTGGTTAAGAAGAAAGTTCCTTCATTCTCTCCATTTCTGTTAGTAGCCGAGCTTACCAGTCAAATTCTTAATCCTATAATTTCTTCTACATATCCCCAAAAAAAAAAAAAGTCTGAATCTAATGTCCCATTTATGAATTTGACACTCATCTGCTGTAGCCAAAAGTATGTAGCAAAAACTAAAGATCAGGAAGGATTTCCTTTGGTGGGAAAAGATATGTTACAGGTTTTGTGCCAATGTGTTCTGATAATGCTACAACATGAGAGGATGCTACGGGTTTTGACCAAGCGAACAAGATCTGTTACAGGTATTGTGCACTGGGACCTTCCATACTCCCATAACATACCTAAAGACCTTATCATTCTCTATAGAACTTCCATAGCCATAAAATATTCACCTATTACTACACATTTGCAAACTCAGATTGTTAACACCTTGACCATCTTCCTTCTTAGATGCTGTCACTGCTTACCACTTTGGCAAGTAGAATTCCTTTTCAGAATCACCTCCCAATATAAGCTTCCTTTCTGCTCTTTCAGAAGTAGGGAAGAACATGACACTATAGCATTGACCAGGGATATGAAAATCTAAGGTTTTCATTTTGCTCTTCTAATTTGTTGGTGTTTTAGTATTGTCCATCTTATGTATCTTTCAAATGATAAATATCACTGATTAATGAAGAAGTTTTTCGCATTAATCTCCTGGTTTTAGAGTGATCTTATATCAATGTCTTTCAAAATGTGCATAGAGAAAAGGCCTTTAATTCCTATTCTGCTTTCTTTCTGTAATGATTGGGCCTTGATCTCTGACTGAAATTCTCTCTTTTTCCTCATCTAATTTTTGGGATGTGGGATTTTTGTTTAGAATGGATCATCGGTCACAAACTTACGCAGAAGGCAACCAAGAAATGTATCCAACATATCTCGTAGAGCTTCTCAAGCTCGGGCGTCTACCTCGAATAGGATGACAAGGTTGAGGAACAGTTTCCCTGGACAACCTCGTACTATCTCATCATCTAGAGGAAGAAATTCACTGTTTCCTCCTAACATGGATGTGGACATGGTATTATTACTTGCACTTCTCCTCATGATTTTGGTCAGTAATATAATATTTAGTCAGCTGAAGTTGTGTTTCTTGTCATTTTACATGCTGCTTGTGTTCATTTGGCTACAAGTGACGGTTTTTTTTTTTAAATTATTGATGAAGACTACACATCATGACGCTTAGTTTCTATTCTATTGAGGTTGCTCATTTTGTAATAGGGAAGAGCAGCTGTCTTGAACACTAGCTAAGAAAGGATTGGCAATGGGGAAATTGAATCTGAATCTCAGTTTGAGAGTCACTAGTCTATAGAATTATAAACAGTCAAATAGTAAGAGAGGAATAGAATTGTCTTTTCAAGAGGGCCCATATGGATATATAGATGTGATCATTTGAATGGACAAATACAAACTATTTTCAGGGGTGACTGGCATTGCCTAATAACTTCACACTTTTCCCTTGCAGTGCAAAATATAGCTTTTAGAGATAATACGTGTCAGTATTATCAAAGGCGAAAAACGCAAAAAAGCTCTAAGGTCCGTGGGGGCTTTAAGCGCAAAGCGCAAATAAAGCGTGGGCTTTAATGAAAAAAGGCGCAAAGGGAGAAAAAAATACAAATATATATGTTTAGTCCAAGACTAATAATTATAAACATGAATGACACATTTATGACCAAAGAAATTGAAAAAAAATTATGATGAAGTGAAATATCAATTGTTTAGTGTCACTTCTTCATAAGAGGCTCATTGGCAAGGAGAAGTCTGCCTTAGAACCTTGATGAGGACACTGAACCTCACATAAAGCAAGGTGAAGCGCTCAACATGTTTTGAGCCTCGCTTCAGGGATTAAGCATGCCTTTGATAACACTGATACGTGTTCAATTAAATCTATCAGTAGTAGTTCCACCAATCTTAGATTATATAGTCCTTATAAAAAAAATCTCAGCATGCATTTTATGTTAAGAGGACATCTATAGTTGGACCTAAAGCTCGCTTTGGAAGCTCTTTATACTGTCTTGTGGGTCTCCTGTGGCCTGATTGGTTCTTCTGGTCTGCACTTTATGTTCTATACTTCTTTTCGTAGACACCATCAGCTTCTTCAGAACAGAACTTCAGCATCAAGGAGATGCTCTTTCCACCTAACTTAATAATTGTATCACTTAACAAAATGATGGAAATGGGAAATGTCTAATTGCTGACGATATATTTGCTTAATGTGTGTCCATTTTAGCTAACCTAGAATGTATGATTTACCTTTTCTGAATACTGCAGAGGATGCATATATTGGAAACCTTAGAGGCTTTCAGTAATATGGATGTGGACAGGAACCTCCTTCAGACGCAGCGCGACTTCAATGAGTAAGTTTTATCATGTTTTTCAGTGTTCATGTGTTCTTTCTGATAATGAAATTAATTTTCGTTGCATTAAAATGTAAATAGAGCCATTGGTGACTGAATGCTTAGAACTCTTGAATGTATATTTTTCTGTGTTATTAGTAGACTCCCCTCCTATATCCAAGTAACATAATTTGATCCAAGGGTATGGGTAGCTACAGGGAGATATGTTTTTTCGTGAATGTAGCATCTGCGTGTTGTAAGCTTCTTTGTTGTTTTATGTGATCCATCCTAATACTGGCGGTATTACTATTACCTCTATTTGACATTATTATTTTGGATTGGACAATCTTTTCTGTGCTGTCTAACATGCCTTTCCTTTATTTGGTTTAGGAATGACTACGAAATGTTATTGGCCCTTGATGAGGACAACCACCAACATGGTGGTTCATCTTCACGACAAATCAACAACTTGCCACAGTCAACAGTTCAGGTAACCATGATCTCCTTATTGTATCGAATCTTTACCTAAGATTAAGCTTTTGTATCGCCTTGATGTTTTCCCATAATATTCAAACAAGTGTACACATAACAGTTGTCTGCTATAAGGGCATCCATCTGTTATCCGCTCTAAGAACATCATTGCAATTGTAGTATTGCAAAGTACAGATTTTGGTTTGCGTGCTGCTTCAAGCTGTGAGCTGCTTGAAGTACATGTTGCTCACCCTCTCTAGCTCCTTGCAGAATGAGAGTCTTCAAGAACCGTGTGCTGTTTGTCTCGAAACTCCAACCATAGGGGACGTTATCCGCCATCTCCCTTGCTTACACAAGTTTCACAAAGACGTAAACTTCTGAATTTTCTTCTTCAGAGTGTTATATTGTTTGGTTAAGCAACCAAATTTCTAACGTTCATTGAACTTACTGCAGTGCATTGATCCATGGCTGAGTAGAAAAACATCATGCCCAGTTTGCAAGTGTTCGATCTCTTAACCTGCTGTAGAGATGATATAGGTGGAATACATGCCAGTTGCAGCTTAGATTTTGATACAAATCTTGTACTTTATGTTCAAGGTTGTTCAGAACAAAGTGCTCTCTTTTGCTATATGGTTTTCTTCAGTTACTTCTCTATACTTGATGTTAAGTGTTCCAATAGTTGGATGAATTCACCAATTATGGATGGCACATTAACCATTCAACCATGGATGCTTAGCGATAAATGGTAATAGCATTCTGTTAGATAGCAACAGATTTGACAAATACTGTCAACTCTTGACGCGAGAGAATGAGGACGGAGAGATCCATTAGACAATGAAACTGTTAGTTCTCTATGTACTGATGAGCATGTTGATTCCAAGCTTCTCTTATAAAGGGATCAACTCTTTTGCATGAATCACCAAAGAAAAAGTACAGTATTTTTAGCCTAGCACCACCCTGTGATGGACAAATTCAGAGCCTGATAAGGGCCGGAACTTGAAGAGCGAAGCGAGCTGTGCTAGCCTAGTGTTGTTTTTCAGTAGCAAGCTATGATCTAACGACCCCCAAACGTGGGGTGAGTAATAATATTATTTACTTTTCAAATCTACTCAATGTGTTTTGAAGTTTTTTTTTTCTTTAATTTAGTAAACTTCAAGCTTAGGCATTATGAATTAGGAGTAGCGTTGAAGTCTGTTCATGGTTTTTTTCTCTCAATTGTTTATGAAATTATCTCAACGTTTTAGTTAAATATATTGTGCAAAAATCAAACTTATTTTTGTCTAGAAGGTGTCAATTCATTATGAAACTAAATATCTATGGAGTAAATCGGAAACAACCTCCTAACCAACAAAGATAGTAAAAAAATCTATATACACGTCATACACTCTGAACCCCCTCCTAACCCATGAAGGTAGTAATAAGATCAACGTACACCTCACTATATCGAGTATGTTGTCACTATGAAGGTTCCATTAAGAAACACGGACTATGTATTTACAGAAAGAAGATTTGGATTTGATCAAAATCTCTCTTTTTGATAAATAAAAATAAACCAAGACCATAAAAGCATATAAGTACATACATATAGCCACTTCAATCATTTGCGTCCATTTCTACCCGGTCAAAAAAAAATTATTATGTTCACGATTCTTCATCTCGATAAATAGACAAAATGCTCAAATTTGCCAATTCTGGAAATTGATTGGCAACATATCAACACGAAGTGATTCATCATGCTCAAACTCAAATATGAACCGATCGCTCGATAAGGTAAAAGGCCAATTGATTTGACAAGATGAAGTATATGTACTAATTTGGATAAGGAGGAAGCTGTTTTTTATTATCATCTTCAAACCAAATGAAAGGAACACAACTGTTCTTATAATAAAATTTTTAGAGAAAGAGACCAAATTAATGCAATTCTGGAAATGATCTCTTCCAAGAAATTTCTCAAAGCTACACTTATTGTTCTTTGTAAATATTATTTAATGAAACTATTGTGTATGCCTTCCTCTCTTTAAAGAGCATCTTTAGATAGAAGGTGGTTGTGACTGTCGATTTTACGGGCATTGCGTAGCTCATCGCAGGAGTCTCCTCTTTCAAAGACTGCAGCAGCACCCATTCCAGTGCCTGTTGTGAAATGCAAAAAGAACATGAGCTAGCCATTCCGAAGATTTGATGAAGGATTTCATTTTGGGCATTGGGTGTGCGAGAGAGCAGAGTAAGGAGGAAAAAAGATTACCTATGCACATAGACACCACACCAAAGCGGCAGTCTTTTCCACGACGCTTCATCTCATGTAACAGCGTTGCAACACACCGCGCACCTGTTTTGACAATAGAGAAAGCATTTCTCATCAGGATAATCATTGATGTGAATAGTTACTAAGGCTAACAAGAACATGCAGAGAACCGTCCCACTGCTGTATTAAGAGTGGTTCAGATGTGGAAGAGGCCCTATGTGTAAAACATTCATTGATCTGATAAGATCGTTGTTAGAGCCAACTGTAGGACAATATATCATATGTCTAAACTCATAAAAATAGTCGTGGTACAAAGCATACTCATAGATGACACTTGAATTTAAGTGCTGTAATTACTATCGTATGAAATGGTCAACTTTACCTGTAGCGCCCAAGGGATGCCCGATTGCCATTGCACCTCCATTGACATTGATCTTCTCTGGGTCAAGTCCAAGCTTCTTCCGGCAATAAACAAATTGTGATGCAAATGCCTAAACAAAAATCATAGTCAAGAAACTGTACAATGCATTGAAGACGAAGAGCTGATGAATTTTTGCAAATTACCTCATTTATCTCAAAGAGATCAATATCTTCAAGTTCAAGGCCTGCAGATTTGACAGCAGCTGGAATTGCAACAGCTGGACCAATTCCCATAATGGCAGGGTCTACACCCACGGCAGCAAAGGTTCTGCATGAACAGTGGGAGTTAGTTCTCTTTTAAGACGAATAGCATTAATAGAACAAAGATGCAAAAACTATACAATCTTTACCAGACTAAGGTCAGGCATGAGAAGGAAATGTAAAGGAACCCAATAAGCGTAAAGGAAATGATTAAGACTTTCTGACAGTAAGTAACGTTACTGTAACTACATATAGCATGTGAAAATTAGAAAGGGAAAGACCTGAATACACCAAGGATAGGAAGTCCCTTTTGCATTGCAATGCTTCTTTTCATTAGAAGTACAGCTCCAGCACCATCAGTTACTTGGCTGGAATTCCCTGCAGCAAAAGAAGAGAACTTCATTAACCAAACTCCAACTTAAAATTACATTCGGACTTGAAAACTATTAAATTACCAGCAGTAGTAGTTCCACTTTTCTTGAACACTGGTTTCAATTTTGCCAAGTCTGACACACTGGCATTTGGTCGTATTCCATCATCAACAGAGATGGTTACTGGTTTCTCATCTCCAGTTTTTGGGTCAACAATCTTTTAGAGAAGACAGAAGAAACATAAGAGGGTATAGTTGATATAGCTATTACTAGATTCCAAGTGATCAAAATTTAGACGGATGCTACCTTTGTGGCTACAGGAATTATTTCATCCTTGAATTTTCCAGAAGCAGTGGCCGCAGCAGCCTTACGATGCGAATCAACCTAGCAGCAGAAATAAAAATGAGATGCGATACACACCAGATAGACATGATCATAAGTTGATGGGTCTATTAAACTTACCGCAGCCTGGTCTTGTTCCTGCCTTGTCACACCAAAGCGATGTGCAACATTCTCAGAAGTAATACCCATAGGAAGAAGACAGTCCTGAGCTTGTACCATTGTCTTGACCTGAGATCAAATGTTACAGGTTATGACAATCTTCCAGTAGGACTCATCTCCAAAGAACATAATATGTAACAAAAAGTGTAACAATATGCTTCAATAAAACAAAGACATACTTTTGGGTTGACTGATCCTTCCCAAGCCATTGGGTTTGTGGTCATAGACTCCAATCCAGCACCAATACCTGATTTGTGAGTGGTAAGTTAACCAAAAAAATAGAAATGGGAAAAACACCATATACATGGTATACAGCTACAGTGCACTTGTAGTAACAAGAAACGGTAACACACCAATGTCATAAAATCCAGCTTTAATAGCTGCAGCTACATCAGCAACTGCTTGAAGGCCTGATGAACATTGCCGGTTTACAGTTCTAATTGGCACGGTTTCTGCTCAAGAGAAAGAGAACTTAGCATCTTGAAACAAGAACCTCATAAATAAATGACGAAAATTAAAAAACCACCTACCAGGAAAACCAGCATAAAATGCAGCCATCCTGCACTCGCTTGCCCTCTGGGAACCTGGGGCCAAAACCGAGCCGACAACAATATCCCCAACTTCACTAGGGTTCACATTAGTTTTTTCAATCACCGCCTGTAGTGAAGATGTAAAGAAAGAATACAGGTAAATATCTTTGATAATCTTGGACATCAATCCACAACTCAGCTTAGTGTAACCCACCTTTAGAACTGCAGCAAGTATATCATCAGGATAAGTATCCTTGAAGCCTCCTTTCTTTGCTTTGCAAAGAGGAGTCCTATATGCACTGCAATAAACAAATAGGTTCTCACAGTAAGGATACCATTGGGAAATGAGAAGTTGCAACAAGAACATGAAAAATATGAAAAAGCCAAGAGAGCAGGGCAAAGCTGTAGCTCGAGTATCAACTCAGAAACTAAATCTAGAGATGTCATCGGCTATAACAACTTACGCAACTATGACAACATCATCACCAAAAACAGAAGTTCTCTGGTAAGCAGCACTGTCTCCAGCAGAGCATACAGATGCCTGGTTGAAAATTGAAAGAACATAAGGAACAAAGATATAAATTACTTTTTAAAACACCAGATGTTTGAAATAAAGACAACCCTGTTTACTACTCAAGAAAGCAATAGGCTTCTCATCAAACCTCGGATTCACAGTGTAATGAGTATTCAAGAACAAGCCAATTAACCAAAAAACAGGACTCAAGGATTACAATAATACACTATAAGATCAACTGAATATTCTTGTAGTTACTAAACATATAATTGTCATATTTTGTAACAGGACGAACATGATAATGTCACATCCACCATTCGACTTCTAGGATTCACCGTCTTTTAACTGATCAATCATAAAAAGTATTCCCTTATGTCTAAGAAAAACACAACTACTTGAGATGTCTATTATGTAGTTGCTAAATTTTTAGCTGTGGGGGGTTGGTGGGTTCCGTCACAGTTCACACAGCACAATCAATTTGTCAGCAGATTGCAACTTCTAAATTTTTTTAAACAAATCTACTTCTGTTTTTCCCAAGACACCAATTAATATACTTCTGAGCCAACTCAGAGAACCAGTTAAACTACCATTGAAATTAACAAGTCAAGCTATGTATCCATTTTCTACATTGGTAATTTCCCTAACAATTTGTAGGTTTTTAAACATCAAGAAAAAAAAAACAAAAAAAAACTAGTAGCTTTAAAAGTAGAAAGGGCACACCTTAATTAGGAAAAACATGACCTTAAATGGTATACATGTCATACGCTTTCTGTTTTCCAATTATAGTATTCATTACAACTGTAACAAATTGCATTCCCAAAAAAGATGGTAAAAATTAATAGGCCATCAGATCTGCTGAAATAAAAATTCCATAACTGTATTAGAAGCACTATACAATAATTGATGTTGCTCCTAACCAAAACATGAAGCAATTAATAGCTTCTTATCTCTAGACCATCCACCTATGAACCAAATTAAGCTCTGTACCTAAACAAAAACTACTACTACACCATAACCGCAAAGACAAAAACTACTACTACACCATAGCCACAAAGACTTAAACATTCGAACAACAACATAGCCAGTGAAATCCCACAAGTGGGGTCTCGACCTCGTAGAGATAGATAAGCTTAAAGACTTAAACTTTCAAACAACAACAACATAGCCCGTGTAATCCCACAAGCCGGGGTCTCGACCTCGTAGAGATAGATAAGCTTAAAGACTTAAACTTTCAAACAACAACAACATAGCCCGTGTAATCCCACAAGCCGGGGTCTCGACCTCGTAGAGATAGATAAGCTTAAAGACTTAAACTTTCAAACAACAACAACATAGCCCGTGTAATCCCACAAGCCGGGTCTCGACCTCGTAGAGATAGATAAGCTTAAAGACTTAAACTTTCAAACAACAACAACATAGCCCGTGTAATCCCACAAGCCGGGTCTCGACCTCGTAGAGATAGATAAGCTTAAAGACTCAAACTTTAATCAAAACATGTTAAAACAAACCAATAAAAACCATATACAAATCTGGAAACATAAAACTTCCTCTTAAAACATCAAATCGATCAAAATCAACCATACCCATATCAAAAAACCAATCATGAACACTCCGATTAACACAACTAAACAAATCAAATCCAAAATTAAACAGAAAACACAGATCAAAACACACCCAATAACCAAAAAAAAGTAAAAAACTCAATAACAAACACAAATCAAAAACAAAAACCAAAACACACCCACATCACTAAATTGAAATCAAACCACAAAACCAAATCAAAATCAGAAAAAAAACACTCACAGAAATAGATGATTCAATGTTTTCCAAAGAAGAAGATGTCTGTGAAGGACGTAGATGTTGAAGAAGAACTCTTTGTCTCTCGATTGCTTTATCCATAATTGTTAATCTCAGATTTCGAAAATTGATGATCCAATACAATGAGCTGAATTTTTTACTCTCTCTGTATATTTATATATAGCGAAGAGAAAGGCGGTTCGGTCTGTATTGGAATTCGCAAAATTAAGAAAAAACGTGAAAGTTTATCTAAAAAAGATGGGTTGAATAAACAAAGATAAGAGTTGGTGACACTATTCGTATATTTTTTTTGGGACTTAGGGAGCTAAATGACAAATTTTTTTCGGAATATTTTATTCATAAACTCAAATAATTCGTAAATATTTTTCATTAAAAATAGTTAGTAGTATCTCCTTCGTCTACTTTTAGTTGTCGTGATTTTCTTTTTTTAAGAGTCAATGATTAATATTTTACGATGTATTTTTTATTAATATGTGAAAACTGCAAATTATAGTACGTTTCGTATAGTTTTTGAATAGCTAAATCTTTTGTTTAATATATGAAATTAATGTAATCTAATTAAAATTTAAAAATTAGTCAAATTAATTTTCGATAAACGCAAAACAATTAAAAAAGGACGAAATGAGTATATATTAGTATATCCTTTATTTTTTAGTTAGAAACTAGAAAACTTATTTTGATATTATAATTTAACTATAAATCATAACGATATATGAATTAAATAAATATTAAATTTTAATTAATTTTGATTTCTTAAAATTTCAAATTATATTTTTCAATAATTTCTTTTTATTCACTTTTATTTGTCTATTATTCCTTTCATCCATTTTTATTTATTTATATTTGATATATCACTTATATTAATTCTTTAAGTTATCTAAATATTGAGAAAAAATTAATAGTGTTTAATAACAAGGAAATAATAGATGCAAACTGACAAATTATTGATTCATTTTTTTAAATTGAATAAGTAAAATCAGATAACTATTTTTAATGTACTGGACAAATAAAAATAGACATAGTTTAATTGGTACATTAACAGTATAATTTTGATATATAAAAGTGAACATAAAGGGTAAAATTGGAATATTTATTATTTAATAGTGCGACAATTAATATGAAATATATCTTGTATCTACGAGATAATAGTAAAATCCGCGTATTCAGACTCAGCTAGTTGAGTTCCACACGTCATTGGTGATAGTGGTCAAGAGAATGTATTGAGATGCGTGCCCAATTGAGCAAAATAAGAGAATTTTCAAATCAGTTCCAATTTTAGCTAAAATGGACAAGATTAACGGATCTGATTTAATAAATCAGTTGAGAAAAAACCATTAATATAGATAATTAGGAAGTGACAACTCTTTCTATTAAATCATAGTTGGACCACTAGGTGTCGAAAATTTATTGATTCGATTAATTTATATAGCATAGTGTTTTTAAAAATTGTGCATTTAAAGCACATTTTACTAAAGATTAATGTAGTTGTATGTAAATCAAGAGTGATAGCATGATGAGTTAAAAAGTCGTCTAGACTTATTATTAAGACTAATGAATTAATTATATTCATTTTCCTATTATATTTTTAAAATATTGTGTTTATTTTATTCAAATGGTGATATAGTAGAATTATCCTTCTATTTATAGTTTTTTAAGAAGTGTGTAAAATCAATAGTAGACAAGTATTGTCAGACAGAGGGAATATTATTTTTGTTAACAACATTTAACGAATCCAACAATTAGATGCTTCAACCCTCATTGAATGACAATTCACTCGCGGAAGATAAGAATACATGAAAATTTATTTTATTATGAGCGGATTGTATTCATTGAGCAAATATTTGAATTATTCAGAGAATGCAGTATCTGATATATTTATTAATTAAAGGATGGACAATGATCAAATCTATTTCTCGATTCACTCGAAGAAGTGAATATGATCTCAATAGAGATATGTAAAAAATAGATCTGATTACACGTATTTTTAAATTCTAAATGGAACGTAGGAAATTCATGTGTAAACATCGTATCTATTTAGATAGGTCTGAATGGTCCTTCTCATCATAATGAGAATGTATATAACCCTGTATAAACATTGTATATCTCTTAGATAGGCAGTTGGATAATTGCATGTCAAGTTAAACACAAAACCAATAACAAAGAGGGGCAAGTGAAGTAATTTGGAAAGGTAATCTTGTATATCAATTCTTTCGGAAACAGACTCTCTACCTCCACGAGGTAGTAGTAAGGCCTGCGTACACGACCCCACTTGTGGGATTTCACCAGGTATGTTGTTGTTATCTTGTATATCAATTATGCATCCAATGTTCAAAATGATGTGCTATCTCATCATTTACACACAGAGGAAGCTGGAAGTTTTAACAGAAAGGACAATGACTAAACTTTTTTTTCTTTCCTATAAAACTTTTCTTTACACAAGCATTGGCTGTACAATTTCATGTCCTTACTCGAGTCTTTGGCTGGAGCGCTTGTGACATAGCGCGAAGTCTGTTTGTTATCTCTGTAAATGATGGTCTTGCTTCTGAATCAGGCGACCAGCACTCTTCCATCAGTTTTCCCCATTCAGGATCACAACGTTGTGGGACGGGAGGTCTGAGTGTGTTATTTACAATTCCACCTTCATCCACAATTCATAAAATTAGTTCAAATCTTCAAGCTTGCACAAAAACTGTCAAATTGTCATAACGGAAAATGTACTATTTGTTCATCCTCATGTGTGGGGAATGCTATCTTACAAAGGAAAAGAAGGAAAGAACAAGTGAACAACTACTCCTCCGTCCCAAAAACGAGCAAGGTCAATGAGTCTAAATTCTTGTGAGAATTGAGATATTGAAATGTTATACAGTATAAGAATGCAACTTTGGATTATTGACAGTGTAGAGACGTGTTTTATCATCGAAAGGCAGTTGCAAGCCTATTCTTAGAATACCATAAGTAGGAACTAAATTAGCTAGAGTACCATCTAGAAGCTTACCAATAATAGCACCACAGTGCAGGTTTGCATAAGGCTCCTCTCCTGTCAAGATCTCCCACATTGTGATGCCAAACGAAAACACATCAACCTGTCAAATGGATTAATGACATTACTTCATATCTGGGATATAAACATTCTTCGTTGTCCAGTTTGAAGTTAAGCATATTAAAATAGAGATCTCACCTTTTCTGAAACCCGACTGCTGTTTCCATTCAATAGCTCCGGCGCCATCCATGGAAGTGTTCCTCTAACACCACCCGAAACAAGGGTATTTCTCTTAATCCGTGATAACCCAAAATCACCAACCTGAAAAATTATGTGTCAATCTTGAAACTAATACGTTGCAACAGACATGAACCACTTCACATCTTCCAGAACTTAAAATTTGCTGGCTACTGGCTATATACCAGATAAAGTAACACTTGAGAGAAGCTTGGTATTTTATAATCAAAGCAGACACACATTTGAACATTTACCTTGCACACAGGACGATGTGGATCTCCCAAGTTGACCAGCAAGTTTTCACATTTCAAATCGAAATGAACAATATTTTTCAAATGCAGGTACTCCATGCCAAAAGCAGCATCTAATGCAAGCATAAGTTTTTTTCGCCGATCAAGCGCTCTGCAAGAACTGAGTAATTCCATAGGTCATATTCCAGAAAAAGGCAACTAGTTTCTTCAATCAAATTTTTTGAATGTGACTAGTGTCACGGGCGAAAAATATTGGAACTACAAATAAGTGAAAATGAGAAGTAGCAAAGTTACCGGTCCTTCCTAGCCAGGACATTCCTTAGAGACCCACTGACCATATATTCAGTTACTGTAGCCACTGTTCCACCAGGTCCATTTGGAACCACCCCATAGAGTGCCACTATATTTGGATGGTGTAGTTTAGAGAGAATCTTAGCCTCTCTCCAGAATTCTTTGATCTGCAAAAATAATTAGACACTTACCAATAGAGGATTACGAGAAACATTTTTTCTTCACTTTAGAATTATTAACTCGACAAAGAATTATCAGTATGGTTGATTTCTTTGTGAGTAACTTCTCTTAGCATGCTTTAGGAATGTTATATTTCCATCCATATCTAAATGTAACTTGACTCTATGAATCTGAGTCACGCCTACCAGACGTTCTTGCTCAGATGAACTCCCAGCAAAACAACTTTGTTTTATTCTCTTGATAGCAACATCTGTTCCCCTCCACTTCCCATAATAAACTGTTCCATATGTTCCAGATCCCAATTCTTGTAGCTCTTCAAGATCACTGTTTTTTATGATCTGCGAGTAGTAACTCACTGATTTAGTTCAAATTGAGAAAAACCTATCTGTCAGTGATGTAAAATCTTAATAAGGAAAAAAAAGGCAAATAAACATTTCAACTGTCCCATTAATTGAGTTATACACACAACTACCTATGGCAGCTTATGACCACAAAAAGCTTAAACATTAAAATGAAACAGAAGTTTCTGAAAAATTAAGTGCATATTTAACAGTGTATAAACGGGAAGACACTTTCAGCATTCTTGAAAAGAACAGTCTCATCAGCATTTTATTGCCTTAGTCATGCCTTCTTGTTTATAAAATATGAATGGAAAGTGAGAAATATGAATGTTATTCTGCAGACTTCATCATGTGCTATTCATATGTGGTATCTGGTGTAGTCTACTCCCAGGGGTAGAGCTGTAGAGCAAAGGGTTTCAACTGAATCTCTTTCGTCTGAAAATTATACTATGTAAATAAGTAAAAACGACTTCTTTTTTGGTCGTATACAAATGTTTGAATCCCTTTGACATAAGGGAAGGGGAAGATTCTAGTGTAGTGGCAAAGGGGTTCGAAAAATGCTTTAGATTATAGGTTGAAATTCTAAATGTGATATTATAGTACTTCTTTTTAGTCCCTTACATAAATTTCTGGCTCTGCCACAGTCTACTCCTTCATTCACTATGATACAGTAGGTAAAGTACTGAGCTTGAAAGATCCAATGCATAAAGAACACAAGATATCAGGCTTTGTGCCTCAGGAAGCATTTTTATTCAGCAATAAGGGATAAAAAAGTAGCATTCACTACATATCAAAAACAAATATTAGATTTCATCTTTAATAGAATTATCTCTGGACCTGTAAGCCATAGATCCCAGCCTCCTTTTCAATGATCGCAGAATCAGAGACAGATTCTTCCTTTCCATTAGAACCATTTCTGCCATCCTACAGATTCATAAACTGATCA